AAAGTAAGTGTTTTGGAGATTGGTGGTGGTAGGAAGAAGAGGGCAGATGCCTCTTTAACACCATCAGTGAAAGTGGATATTGAATTTGAGAGCTAAAGACTGAGAAATAATAGCCATGAAGAGAACTGAGAGAAGAGCTTTTCAGGCAGTAGGAAGGGCATGTGCAAAGGCCCTGAGGCAGGAAAGATTTCACTTGCTTAAGCTGAAAGCAAGGCCATGGGGCTGAGGATTAGTGAGGAAGAAAGAAGTTGTAGGAGGGCGCAGAGCTCCCAGAGTTGGGGGAAAGCTTGGATTAAAAGAGTAGTGGGAACCCATAGTATATTGATCTGCTTGGGCTCCCGTAGCAAAATACTACTGAGTAGGTGGCTTAAACCACAGACATTTATTTTCTCATATTTCTGAAAGCTGGAAGTCCAAGATTGAGGTCCCAGTAGGGTTAGTTTCTGGGGAGGCCATCTTCTTAGCTTGTAGGTGGCCGTCATCTTTCTGTGGCCCTTCCTCTGTGCGTGCACAGAAAGAGAGAGAGAGAGCTCTGTGACGTCTCTCTCTCGTCTTGTAAGGACACCAGACCTGTCAGATTAGGGTCCCACCCTTATAAAATTATTTACCTCTTTAAAGGCCTGATCTCCCCACACAGTCACATTGGGGGTTAGGGCTTCAGCCTATGATTTTTCGAAGGGGCACAGCTTTGTCCCTAACACGTAGGAAGGGTCTAAGCAGGAGAGTGGCCGGAAGTTGATCGTAGGCGTGTAGTTAGAGTGTATTTGCAGCATTGCAGCAGAGAGGTGATGGCAGTGTGGACTAGGGTGGTGGCCTTGGAGACGGAGAGGCAGGAGTGGACGGGAGGTGTATGTTCAGGCAGAAATGATTGGCCTTGCTGTGTCTCGTGGCTGTCCAGTTTACTTACCTGGATCCCCAAATGACCTGGTAGTCTCTAAAGGGTCTGTTCCCCGTGCCTGGGTGAAATGTGAGCTGCTTATCACTTGTGCATTCACCTGGCAGGTGCTTCATGAAGGCTGAGCAAGTGCACACAGGGCTGCAGTGTGCTGCAGGGGTGGTAAGGGACACAACAAAGTTTCCAAATCCATGTTCTAGACCGTGCCTGCCTTCTTCACACCATGGCTTAGAGCAGGAAAGTGGCTGACGTCACTCAGGGCTTCAAAGAAAGGATTTCTTCCCAGTTTTTCTCTGGTCGTGCTCTGATGAGAGAGCTAACTGGTTCCCATGTGTGTCTGCATTTTACACACACACACACACACACACACACGCACACACACGCACTGCAGAGAACTTCCACTCAGCTCAGAGCTCTGCTTTCCAAGCAGCCCACACAGTCTGGCCTGGGGTGGATGTTCCAGTGCTGAGCTGGCCGGTTATGCAATGCCTTTGCTCACCCTGGATCTCATCCTCCTGGCTGCTGAATCCACCCCTTTGTGTCTGTCTCCTCCCCCAACCCCGAAAGGCTGGATCCAGTCTTAATGTGGGAAATAAGCACGGAGACACTTGGCCGTAATAATGATGAGGGAACCGATCACATACAAAATGTTTCTAGAATGCGCTTAACGCCCCTGACCTGGACACCTAAAAATGGTTAAAGTGGTTAAGTTTATGTTATGTACTACAGTAAAAGAAAAATTGTTTCTATAATGGTGCTTTCAGACTCATTAATATCGTACATGTCCCTGTAACGGAGACATGAGATCCTAACTTACGCCACTTAGCAGCTGACCCTCAGTGAGTGTCCTTATCTGTAAGATGGGACAATATTATCTATCTCACAGGGTGGTCCTGCTTGAACCACTTCCATTATTTTTGTTCTGAAAGATTGTTGGCAAAAGTTTTGCCCTTAAGAGCTTGGGAATTTTAAAGAGAGTGTTTTAAATTTTTTTTTTTAATTTTTTTTCAACGTTTTTTATTTATTTTTGGGACAGAGAGAGACAGAGCATGAACGGGGGAGGGGCAGAGAGGGAGGGAGACACAGTATCGGAAACAGGCTCCAGGCTCCGAGCCATCAGCCCAGAGCCCGACGCGGGGCTCGAACTCACGGACCGCGAGATCGTGACCTGGCTGAAGTCGGCCGCTTAACCGACTGCGCCACCCAGGCGCCCCGAGAGCATTTTAAATTTAAATAGCAGCTAGGGGCGCCTGGGTGGCGCAGTCGGTTAAGCGTCCGACTTCAGCCAGGTCACGATCTCGCGGTCCGTGAGTTCGAGCCCCACGTCGGGCTCTGGGCTGATGGCTCGAGCCTGGAGCCTGTTTCCGATACTGTGTCTCCCTCCCTCTCTGCCCCTCCCCCGTTCATGCTCTGTCTCTCTCTGTCCCAAAAATAAATAAACGTTGGAAAAAAAAAAAATTTAAATAGCAGCTAAAGCATGGGTGGCAGTATATTACAAAACCACAAATGAGATATGTATGGAACCCCGAGATAGAGTTATTTACTAGTGCACAGAAAATTGGGAGAGCAGGAAAATGTTTCCTTCTGCAGTCAAAAGGTTTTTAAACGGAATCCGCCTGTGCTTAAGTGTAGTCCTATAATAAATAGTCTAATATGTTACCTCCTGGTGAGAGGCAGATGCAGTTTAGAAGTGACTTCAGGAGATGGAAATGCATGAAGGGATAAATCCCCACACCATTTCATTTGTTATTATAAAGGACATTTTTTTCTAGTTCTGGAAAGAATTGAAAATCATGAAATCACGTTTGCGTGCTTTCTGTCGTGTTAGCACTGTATTGGGTATTTACTGTATGCTAGGTACTGAATCGAGCACTTGACATGGGTCATTTCACATAAAGGATGCGTGACAATTGTTGACGTTTTGGACAGTGAATAAATGTCTGAGTAACTGGGACTGTTCTATACATACGGATTGTTAACCCACCTTTCAACTCAACATGTTTGGACTTTTCCAGCGTCATTAGAAATGCTTCGGATCATGATCTAAATTGTCTCATAGTGTGACGATATCACAATTTATTTACACAGTTACCAAGCACTGGACACCCAAGTTGCTTCTGGGTTTTATGGTTGTAAATAATATTGGACAAAATATATCTATATTATAAATATATAATATATGATAATACATATTAATAATAGATAGTATAAATATTTAAACATTTCATACATGTTCAGTTATGGCTATAAAACTTCACGGGTCCAAGATGTTAGATTTGGTACAAAGCATGCCATCAGCTAAGTAGTTCCATTCACGGCAACTAACCCTTGATGAAAACGTATAAGATGCTGTAACAGAAGAGTAGTATATAGAAAATCCCTCCTTGGAAAGCAGTTGTTTTGCTGCAAATTTTTTTTTAAGTAAGCTATACACCCATCATGGGGCTTGAACTCATGACCCCAAGATCAAAAGTTGCATGGTCTACTGATTCAGCCAGCCAGGCGCCCCTTTGTGGCACATTTTTAATAATTATTGTGCAAGCTATTCAGAGAGTTGTGGTTTTCTCCTCTGTAGAGTAGGAATAACAATAGTACCCTCACCAGGGTCGTGTGGGAAGTTTCAAGGAGCCAATGTCAGTGAAGCTGTGCATGCAGAGCCTGGAGTCCAGTTAACGCTATATAAATGTGAGCTGCTGTTATTAACAATGTCAGGTACATGGCAATATGATGCTTATATAAATAACGCCAGGCTGCATGGCTATCTTCATGTGACCCATGGTAGTTGTGTAAATATTTTCCTAATATGACTACAGTTGTGCTTATCACTTGTGCATTCACTTTAAACAGCAGCATACACACAAGCACAAATTCCAGATACAGGGTGTCGATGGGGGTAGTTAGGAAGAGAGGTGAGGGAGTGCTCCCAGGAAGTAAAAGGTGAGGATCTAAGCTTTAAATGTATCACAGAGTACGGGGCGCCTGGATGGCTCAGTCGGTTAGGCGTCCAACTTCGGCCCAGGTCATGATCTCGCGGTTCGTGAGTTCGATCCCCGCCCCCCACCACGTCGGGCTCTATGCTGACAGCCTGGAGCCTGCTTTGGATTCTGTGTCTCCCCCTCTCTCTGCCCCTCCCCTGCTCATGCTCTGTGCCTCTCAATAATAAATAAACGTTTAAAAAAATTTTTTTAATGTATCACAGAGTAAAAGCTCAGAATATTAGCATTAGGGGAAACCAGATGTCTTAGGGCACTGTGTCTCAAACTTTGCCAGCAACCCGCAGTAAGAAATGCAATTGCATTAAGACCTACAATGCAAATAAATGTGTGTGTGTTTCATCAGATGGTTTCATCCAACAGTACTGACTCTTACGACGCCTGCTGTGCCCCGATGCTTTATTAGCTGTTTCAATTTATTTTAATGTTGGTTATGACTTAAGTTTATTTTGCTCGGTAGAGACCCGCAATTTGAAATACTACCTTAAAGCTTGTATACGCTTAAAAAAAAAAAAAGTTTGCAGCTACATTTTTGTTCTTAATTCTTGCTCAAGCATGCAATCACTAATGAATGGTTTTCTTCTTTTTTTTTTATTTTTTAAAAAGTATAATTTATCGTCAAGTTAGCTAACATACAGCGTATGCAGTGTGCTCTTGGCTTCGGGAGTAGATTCCCACGATTCATCGCTTACATACAACATCCAGTGCTCATTCCAACATTGATTTTTTTTTAATGTTCATTATATTTGAGGGAGAGAGAGAGAGAGACAGAGAGACAGAGAATGAGCAGGGGAGGGGCAGAGAGAGAGGGAGACACCGAATCTAAAACAGGCTCCAGTCTCTGAGCTCAGAGCCCATCGCGGGGCTTGAACCCACAAACTGTGAGGTCACGACCTGAGCTGAAGTCAGATGCTTAAGCAACTGAGCCACCCAGGTGCCCCGTGAATGGTTTTGTTCTTATTTGCTTGGTAATTTGAACTTTGGGGTCATTGTTCAGACACACTTGCACGTTCATTTAAATTATGTTCCGTTAAAAGGGCATTGCTACTGGGTGCAGGCAGAAACTGGGTGCGAGTCATAACTCTCTCTGGTTTCTCTTTCTTTTAAACCAGGTAGTTCCAGTTTGCCAGCAGGATGAGTTCTGAAAGAGACTCAGAAACGACATTTGAGGAGGATTCTCAGCCGAATGATGAAGTGGTTCCCTATAGTGACGATGAAACAGAAGATGAGCTCGAAGACCAGGGACCTGCGGTTGAACCAGAACAGAATCGAGTCAACAGAGAAGCAGAGGAAAACCGGGAGACATTCCGAAAAGGTAACCTCACTGGGACCGGAGACTGGGTCCCATCCTTGTCTGTCCTCACTGGGCAGCGACCACAGGTGCACAGGATGGCCGGTCCATGTTAGGTTGGCCAGGAGGTATCTTCCTCCTCTTCGGATACAGCTGGGAGACTGGGGGCAATGGTCTTGGACAACATGGGTTTGGACGCTTCGTCCCCAGCATGCAGGGCTGGTCGACCCACCTGACACGTTCTGTCCAGAAAATGGAAGGTGTTGGTTGGTGTCTACTTTTAGGAGGGACTTGTATGCGGAGGAATTTGCTTGTTACTGCACCAGGAAGCTTGGAGTTGGCCCACCTTTGGTTCAGCCGTTTGTGAATATGATGCGGTGTGGGCTGCTGGCTATGAGGGGCAACGGCAAACAGCCCTACCTGCCCAGAATCAGGGCAACTTCGAGGCCCGGTCTGGACCAGGGGTCAGGGCCAGACAATGACTGTTTTAGGCTCTGTGTGCCACACGGGCTCCGTCACAACGACTCAGCTGTACCAATCGTTCTTAAAAATAGCCGTAGACAGTCAGTCCTTGAGGCCACAGCGGAGTGTACCTTACTTTTATGAGGATGCTTTTCCCGCTGTGGCTTTTCTATTTCGTTTTCTGCTGGTTCTCCCACCCTGGCAAGAAAATGGGGTCTCTCCCTGTGGCGGTTGTGCTCCACGAGGAAGCTGAACCTTTTCTCTTCGGGCCCCAGATTTGCTCCAGGTTTCAGGTTCAAAATATTTCTTCCATGGTCTCTCAAATTCCCGCTGAATAACTTTAGATTCTCATTTCTAGGAATCTCCACGAAATTACTGTTTCTGACTCTCTGGATGCTGCCTCCACAGCCTCAGTCAGAATAACCTCTGGTTCTATCTGGCTTGGGGTTTTTTTTGTTTTGTTTTGTTTTGTTTTGTTTTTCAAACTGTTTCACCGGTAGAGAGAGCAACATGCATGAAATGAGACTTTGGGGATGATTTCTCCTGCTCTGGTCAGAGGCTGCCTCTCTCCAGCTCTCCCGTGTAGGGAGGATCTCCACGGGGGAGAACATATGTCCAAATGGGTCCCCTCCTAACCTGGGCCCCCAAACCGGGCAGGCCATTGATCTATGTATACTGTTTGCCGTCCTTAGTTTTCCGCACCAAACATTTAGAACGATCAGAACTCACTGTAGATTTCCGGCTATCATTTTAAGCTGCCGAATGTTAAGCTTAAGCGCTTTTCTGCCTTGAAGCAGAAGGTATGAAAATCACGGTAGCTGAGCTAAATTAAAATGGAATCACTGCCAGTCTGAACAGGAAATGTGGCCTCTGAATAACAGGTCCAGACTGGATGTTCGAATGGAGATAAAGCTGAAAGAGCCTGACAAATTAGCGGGGAGTTCTAGCTGGCTGCCTCACATCATGAATACGGCGTTTCTTCCTCATTCTTTCCCCCGCTGAACTTCTAAGTTGCCTGTCACAGTCTTGGAATCGCTATCAGATGTGGATATCTGATCAGCTGGCAGAGAACCGGCTCCGTGGGGTTCAAGGTGAACTTTGCTGTTGGTGCTTGGTGCCACGCTATCAGCTGTGTGGTCCGGGACGTAACAAAGGACCGGGGTTGGGTGCCTGCAGAAATGTCAGAGAAGCACGTACTCGGTGGGAACTCTCACCTCTGGTTTTTTTCCAACTCTACCTTCACATCCAGGTTCTCAGGGCCCTTTCCTGATCGCTCAGTCTGTAGGTCATCCCTCTTGTAGATTTCTACTGTCGGAACGCAGGTCGCCAGGGAGGCCAGACTTGATCTTGGCTCTTCATGGTCTCTTCCAGTGGTGGCTTATATTTCTCGGGGAATCTGGTGGGTCTCATTTCTTTTTCTTTTCTTTTCTTTTCTTTTTGAAGATTTTATTTTTACGTAATCTCTACATCCAATGTGGGGCTCGAACTCACAGCCCCACGATCAAGAGTTGCACGCTCTACGGACAGAGCCAGCCAGGTGCCCCTGCTCGTTCTCATTTCGTAAAACTCCTGTCAAACAACCTTGCTTGTGACTTTTAGAAACACACCTCTACCTGCCCTTCCCCAAAGCACAGAAGACATTCAGTAAGTGCCAGACCTCTCTCCTGCATTCCTTCTCCTGCCCTGCACGCCCCCCAACAGGTCTGCTTCCTCCCCTCCTCCCTCCTTCCATCCTTCCCTTTTCCTCTGCACCCCTCCTTCTCCCTCCTTGTTTTTCATATTTTCAGTCATTTTCCCCGTTAAGGTCAGCGTCGCTCCTTTTTAAATGACCCTCTGTCTGTCTTGACATTTTCCATGAAGGATAGTTTTCTCCAAGGAATTAATTCTTTAGAAACCAGAGCGTGAGTCACTCTGTGACGTCCTGTCAGGCTGAGGAACACCAGAGGCCAGTGCGCTCTGTAGCAGAACAGGATCTCTTCAACAGCATCCTTTTAGGGCAGAAAGTTGGTTTTTTCAAGATGCCCTAGCCCAGCTGAGTTAAGCAAGCGTTCTGAGAGCTCCATTATGAATGCTTTTCAGTTGAAGGACGTTTGTTGTGAGCTGTGAGGCTCCAGAGCAAGGGTAAGTAAGCACGCTGTTAGAATGTGCCACAGAGGAAGAGATAAACCCACCGATTTTACTGGAGTAATTTTACCCTGAGTTTACTTTGAGCAAGGATTGGGAAGAATAAGTGGGAATGTTTCCCATGCTACCGGATGAACCCTCGTTTCCTGATGAGCACACGGGAGCAGTATTTCCCATTGTGCATCCTGGGAAACGCTTCTTTTGCAGATGCTCCAGGGCACAAAGATTCTCTAGCCCCTGAGACCGGAAGCTCCGAATTCTTTAACCTCTTCTTGGAGTTTCAGGTTGTCCATTAGCTGAAAAGGATCCAAGAAATTCACGCACGAAAGAAACCAGTTCAAGGGCGCCTCGGTGGCTCACTCAGTTCAGCGTCCAACTCTTGGCTCAGGTCGCGGTTCATGGGACCGAGCCCCGCATCAGGCTCTGTGCGGACAGCAGGGAGCCTGCTTGGGATTCTCTCTCTCTCCCTCTGCCCCTCCCCCGGCTCGTGCACGTGCACATACTCTGTCTCTCTCTCTCTCTCTCAAAGTAAATAAAGATTAAAAAACAATAATAAGCCAGTTTAATTTTATTCAGCCACAGGTTCCTAAAACCCCTTGACTCTAGAATGCTGTGGAGTTTTTTAATTTGCCTTTTTTTTTTTTTTTTTTTTTTAAAACCATCCCACCCATCCTGGTGTCCGCTATGTCAACTCAATTCTGTGCCGGCCAGGAACCAGCTTAGAGATGGAGCCCTTGGGAATAAATAAATGCTCGGGATAGCACTGGATCAGTGCAGACTGGCCCTTTCTTCTGAGCCTGGGGTGAATGAGAAGGCTGTCTCCTGCCTCCCAGGGAGCACTGCTTTCTGACCTCTCCCAACTTCCTGCTCTGCTGGCTCACAAATCACGGATGTGCTCACAGCTTCCCTGCCCTACCACAAATCCTTGCCTGAATCCCGCCTTCTGCCACAGTTGGTGTCCTGTCTCCTGTTCTCTTGGCCAAGCTTCTGGAAACCCATTTCTCTCGTACTGCCTCCTCTGGGGCCCCTGGATTCCTCCCCTCCATGGGCTGCCCTCTGCCCTCCGTGTAATGCCGTCTTAAAAGTCACCAAGAACCCCAGTGCCAAGGCCAGTGAGCTTTCTGTCGGCCATCATATTCCAACCTGTTTGCCCCGAAGTGCTTGACCTTTGTAACAGTCTCTCCTTGGAGAGTGCTGACCTTGGCAGGAGACAACACCCTCTTGCCCAGCACCCCTCCTGTTTTCTTGTTCCTTTTGAAGAATGTTCACAACCCTCCTTCGTACTCCATTCTCTCTCTACAGGGCTTCCTTGAGCAAGCTAACTCCCTTTAACCTGCTCACCTACCACATCTCTGCGTCACTCTGAGAGGCAAGGTGCGTGGTGAGGAAGAGGGAGGACGCTGGACCGCTTTCTAGCTGTGTGACCTTGAGGAAAGGACTTCTCTCTGTGCCTCAGTGTCTCCATCCAAGAAATGGGCATACTGTAGTTGTAAAGGTTAAATCAGAAAATAAAATGGGGCACTTGGGTGGCTCAGTTGGTTGAGCGTCCGACTTCAGCTCAGGTCATGATCTCCCGGTTCGTGAGTTCGAGCCCCGCGTCGGGCTCCGTGCTGACAGCTCAGAACCTGGAGCCTGCTTCAGATTCTGTGTCTCCCTCCCTCTGCCCCTCCCCTGCTTGTGCGCACGCGTGCGTGCTCTCTCTCAAAGAATAAATAAAGATTAAAAAACAATTTTAAAAATCAGAAACAAGTGTAAAGGATTTAGCACAGCTTCAGGCACACAGTAAATGCTCAATAAATAGTAGCTCTTATTCTCCACTACCTCCTCTGCCAGTTCCTCCCTTAATGTCTTCCATATCAAAGTGAAAGTGTCTACCCTGCCCTATCATCTCCTCTCATCTGTCCATCATCGAACCTTCTTCTCGACCCCTCTACTTTCTTTTGGGGCACTCAGATTCTCCTGGACCCCCAAGGTTAAAGCTGTGGACTCCTTCTTTTAAAATTTTTTTTTTCAACATTTATTTATTTTTGGGACAGAGAGAGACAGAGCGTGAACGGGGGAGGGGCAGAGAGAGAGGGAGACACAGAATTGGAAACAGGCTCCAGGCTCTGAGCCATCAGCCCAGAGCCCGTCGCGGGGCTCGAACTCACGGGCCGCGAGATCGTGACCTGGCTGGAGTCGGACGCTCAACCGACTGTGCCACCCAGGCGCCCCTGGACTCCTTCTTTTAAACAGCTCCTTCTGTCCCCACATCCAAGGATGATGAATGGTTGGAGAGGTGTATGGGATAAAGAACAGTTCATTTTCCCACCAGTGAATTTGCCCACATATTGAGGAAATTTGGGGTGATTTAGGGTCAGTCACCCCTGCCTCTGCCATCTTCTAAGCCTTTCCCATGAACACAGCCTTCTCCAGTGTTTTTGTTCGCGGACCTGTGG